TTTTTTTTTTTTTTTAATGTTTATTTATTTTTGAGAAAGCGAACACACATGAGCAGGAGAGGGGCAGAGAGCGGGATGGGGTGGGGACAGAGGATCTGAAGCAGGCTCTGTGCTGACAGCAGAGAGCCCGATGCGGGGCTCGAACTCGCGGACCGTGGAAGATCATGACCTGAGCAGAAGTCTGATGCTCACCGGACTGAGCCCCCCAGGCGCCCTTAACCATTCGTAGGTGCACGAGTCAGTGGCGTTAGGTATATTCACCCTGCTGTGCAACCGTCACCCCCATCCATCTCCAGAACTTTTCTATCCGCTCAAACTGAAACTCTGTTTCCATTAAATGACTGCTTCCCGTATCCCCCTCCCCACAGCCCCTGGCAACCGCCCCCTGCTCAGTTTTAGATTGCAAACCCCTGTTCTGCCAGCCCTCTGCCCCTTCTCCACGTTTTTGATTTGCCCTGTGGCACAAGCATCTCATGCACTATGTCATGTGTCCCACCCCTCCACAGTAAATCCTAATTGTCCAGTTATTTAAGGCGGGGCCCCAGCACCCGAAACAGTGCTTGACACATAAAGATGCTTAGTGATTTGTTTGTTGAATGACTGACTGATCTAGCCGCCGGGGTTAGGCTGCTGCCTGGGTCCGGGAGCTTTCTCCAGACCCCAGTGATTCCTTGTGCCCTCCCCGCCCCCCTTTTTGCAATCCTGCCTGTGTGTGTCACCCTGGAAGCTGCCAGCGCCGTCCCCCACACTGTGATTATCCTGGCCGCCTGTGACACAAGCACGCGGGTTTTGCCTGTGTTGACAGAAGAAGAAACCCCCTTTTTTTTTTAATTTTTTTTTTCAACGTTTTTTATTAATTTTTGGGACAGAGAGAGACAGAGCATGAATGGGGGAGGGGCAGAGAGAGAGGGAGACACAGAATCGGAAACAGGCTCCAGGCTCCGAGCCATCAGCCCAGAGCCTGACACGGGGCTCGAACTCACGGACCGCGAGATCGTAACCTGGCTGAAGTCGGACGCTGAACCGACTGCGCCACCCAGGCGCCCCAAGAAACCCCTTTTCAGGATCGTCCTTCAAGTCCAGAACTAAAGCTTGAAACAGCAGCCTCCAGTTGCCAAAGACAGCAGAAACGAAACGGAAGCAACACAAGACACCTATCGAAGACCCAGGAAAACCATAAAAAAGGCTGGTTGAGAGAACAAAGCCGGACCCACGCCATCCGCCTGGCTTTCCTTTGGGAAGGACCACGCTGGACAGACCCCGGAGTGCTTCTGTCGCTCACGGTGTGCGGTTGCAGAAAATCATCAGCTGGGGCCAGCGGGGTCTCGGGAGCAGGTCGGACCCCAGCCCCTCCCCCTCCTCACTAGACATGCTGCAGAGAGGGAGATGTGGCTGAACTTCCCTCGCTCCGGACCAAACCGGCCGCCCTTTGCAGGAAACACTCCCGGCTTCCCAGACGGAATTTCAGAATGGGCTGCTGGGCATTCAGAGACCCCAGCGGAACGAAGGAACAAGAACGTGTGGAAACAGTTCCCTGGAACGTGCTAGATGCCTGTTCTGGGCCCCGTTTGCACGGCCCATCCCATGGGCATGAAGAACGTGGGCTCATGTTAAAGCTCGGCCGGCCAGGCTGTCGTCACAAAGGCTTGCACTTACTCTGTGATGAGCCGGCAGGTGACCTCAGCGGGGTCTGGCCGACACAGGGCATCATGACCCCGCAGGAAGCAGGCTCCGGTCCCAGACGGGGTCTGGCTCCCGAAGCCAGCTCGGGCCTCCCCCTAGATTCAGGTCTTCGGCTCAGGATTCCGCACACAGGGAACCCTTGCTGATCCCGTGGAGGGGACGTCGTGGTGTCTGGGAAGGGAGGGCCGGGGAGTGCGACAGCCTGGCAGGGCCATCAGTCAGCCAGCAGGTGAGTGGAGAAGGTGACAGAGAGGCCCCTAGGGGCCCTGGCCTGATGGCGATGAGGCAGGCCACCTCCCCGGCTCCCCCCACGCGGACGGTCCATGTGCTCAGACACGGCCTCTGCGTGGCCTGTCGGGATGCTGGGGTGACGTCAGGCCCGGCCTCTTCCCTCGGAAACCGTCATCCTGGCTGTCTACTGGGGGCCGGGATGCTGGTGAGGCGGATGGAGACTTTTCAGCCAAAGCTTGTTGCTTTGGAGGGTCAGTTGTGCGAGAGCTGGGACTGCATGGGACCCTGGAGGTGGCTGAATTCATCCTCCCCTTGGAGACCTAATGCCCCCTGCAGCCCGCTGGTCCGTGTAGCCTCGCTGGTTTGTTTGTTTGTTTGTTTTTCCATGTTTCTTTATTTTGAGAGAGAGAGGTGGGGGCGGAGAGCACAAGCTGGAGAGGGAGAGAGAGAATCCCAAGCAGCGCAGAGCTCCGTGGCTCAACTGTGAGCCACGACCTGAGCCGAGATCAAGAGTCAGACGCTTAACGGACTGCACCCCCCGGGCACCCCGCCTAACTGGCTTCAGAGCTTCTCTTTACTTGGAACACCAGCTGGCCTCCGTGTGGCCTCCCTGCCAGCTACCTCTGCCTTCCAAGAAGAATAAATAGCCAACGAGTTAACTGCTAACTATAGTTACAACGGGTCTTCACTCATTAGTGCTCCTTTGACAACAACCCTGTGAAGTAGATGCTATTCTTATCCCCATTATACGCACGAGGAGACTGAGGCACAGAGAGGTTAAACTTCAGGTCACACAGCCATAAGCAGCAGCATTGCCTTCAACCCATGGTGCGTGACAGCCAGGTGGTGGCTGGAATCTTTCTCCAGGCCAAAAGGCATGGTCTGGGCTCTAGAACCCCTACTCTGTTCAACAGAGCCCAGCGATGCACGGGCTCCCCCGAGATGGGGGACTTGCACAATTCTTGGGGTATGTCCCGAACCACAAACTGCTGTCCCCCCATCTCTCTCCTTCGTTGCTTGGGGCTGTAGAATTTTACATCCTGTCTACCTGACGGCTCCGGCAGAACCTGCCCGGTGACAGTCATACACGGTTGCAAGGGTTGTGCACTGCTCAACTCCGAGAGCGCTCTTTCACAGAGACTATGAGGTGAACGAGCCCCACCCCCAGAGTTGTGATACACCACCTGCCCAGCTGTCTGGGCAGCAGATCGGTCCTGGGTTCTTCTCACAGCTGGATGGGATTTTGCCCGCCCTTAAAAGGTGTTCTCCAGATGCACTCCATGGTTCTAGAATCATCTTTCTGTGCCTTCTTGGCCAGGCCCCTTGAGGTCACCCTGCTGTGGAGCTGGCGGGGTTCCACGTGGCCCGAGGTGGAGCCAGATGGGAGCCAGGCCACCTTGAGCCTGCCCCTCACTGTACAGAGGAAGGAAGCAGCCCAGGGCTCAGCACCCCCGGGTGCCAAGTTGGGACCAGAACCCAGGTCTCATCTCCAAGACCACGGTCTTCACTCTCTCCCCGGGCTGCTTTGTTTTCCCGTGTTGTTTCATCCCGTTCCTGAGTACTATGAGGGCACGTAGAGGGCACCCCGCTCTCTTCCTCCTTGGGTTTCCCAACAGCAGTTAGCAGAGGCTGGGTAATTGCTGGGTTTGGGTCCTCTCTCCAGACCTTCAGAGACAAAGTACAGAGAGGCCACAAACGCCGGGGGCTCAAGCATCTGGAGGATGCTTAGCCATGACTCATTAGAAGGCTGGGACTGGAGACTTTAGTGCCTCCCAAAGGAAGGGTGAGTCAAGGTAGCACCCCACAAAATACAGGCAGTTTGTCTGATCAGGGCTTCTGTGGCTTGGGGGTGGGTCGGTGGCCGTAGTTCACTTTTTGTGAACAATGAGTGTTGATTCTATTCCTACCCTGTGTCAGGTGTATGCACGGAGAATCCAGAGTCCTTGCCAGTGAGAGCTGGGGGAAACGAGCGTTATTTGTGATAGGTTGTGGAAAGCACCCACGACCGTCCTGCACAGTTGCACAGATTGTGCACTGCTCAACTCTCAGGGCATACTTCACATAAACCGAGATGAACGAGTTGTGACGCGCAACCGTCTACAGTGGCTGTCGTGTCCTCTCGTGGACACAGTGTCAGGCTTCAGGTTGTCAAGGGAGGACAGGCTCTTTAGACCGGTGGCAGGCGAGGGAGGGGGATCGGTGCCAATGTGAGAAGGCTCTCCCCCAAAGAAGATGCTGACACCGGGTCGTGGAGGATAAGCAGCAAAGCTCCAGCCAAAGAAGAGGGAAGGGTGTGCCGGGCAGTAGAAAGAACATTTGTCAACCTTTGGAGGCTGGGGAGGGAGGCCGAGAGTGAGGGAGCGGGATGAGGTGGGAGGTCACGTGGAGGGGAGTGGTAGACAGAGGAGCCTGAGAGGCAAGACAGGTGGGGCTGAGCGCCACGGAGCAGGGGAACGGGGAGCAGGAAGAACCAGGGGCCTGTCGGTCCCTCCGGCTGATCCGCGCTCCCGGAGGCCTGCCCACCCCAAGGAGCGCATTTCGAGATAGGCGTCCGGTAGCTGGACCTCAGAGGCCCTCGACCCCGGGAGACGGGTCACATCAACAACATATTTATACCCCGTTTACACAGAGGCTGAAGCGACCGTCTGCTGGTGTTTATGCCTTTCCGGGACGGCTTCCATGGTCTATTTCTGGAGCATCCCTCACGGCCAAGAGGGCACAGGGAGCGAGTGCCGTATCTCCTTGCCTTCGCAGACAGCTGGGCGGCCTCTGTGCGTGGCGGTCTGGTGACTGGGGGGGCTGCCGGGGCTCCCTCTGAGTGCACGGGGGTCCCCAGGAAGGAGCCAGGCCGGGCCGGGGATTGCCACTTCCGGAGGTGGTCGTCTGCCGTTGTCCCCGAGCAATTGCAGATTTTCTTTGTCCAAGCAACATTGCCAGTGGGATGGGGGACAGAGATGTGACGTGGAAACCGAAGAGCCGGATGGAGCTTGAGGAGTGTATGCGGCCGGTTGAGCAGAGCGTCAGTGGGGAGGAGAGTGTCACCTTGCTCACGACTCTGGCACAAGAAATTTCTTTAGAGTCAGATGCGTCTGGGGCGCCTGGGTGGCTCCGTCGGTTAAGCTTCCGACTTCGGCTCGGGTCACGATCTCGCGGTCCGTGAGTTCGAGCCCCGCGTCGGGCTCTGGGCTGACGGCTCGGAGCCTGGAGCCTGCTTCGGATTCTGTGTCTCCCTCTCTCTCTGCCCCTCCCCTGTTCTTGCTCTGTCTCTCTCTGTCTCAAAAATAAATAAACGTTAAAAAAATAATAAAAAAAATAAAGTCCGATTCGTTGAGGTATGCCGCATTTGCATACAGTAGAACCCACCCCTTTTAGGGTATAATCCTTTGCGTTTTGACAAATGTGTGTGGTCTTGTAACCACCGCCGCAGTCAAGATACCAAGCACTCCCGTCAACCAAAAATTTCCTTGATGCTGTTCTACTTCTGTCTTTAATTTGGTTTTAACGTGTATTTAGTTTTGACAGGGAGAGGGAGAGCACAAGCAGGGCAGGGGCAGGGAGAGAGGGAGAGAGAGGATCCAAAGCAGGCGCCTCGCCGACAGCAGTGAGCCCGACGCGGAGCTCGAACTCACAAATCTCGAGTTCGTGACCCGATCCAAAGTCGGACGCTCAACCGACGGAGCCACCCAGGCGCCCCTCTTTCCCGTTTTAACCCCTGTGGGAGGGATGGTTGGGCCCTTGCTGGGGTTACTCGCCAGGCCTCTCGCTGCCAGGGCTCCCCGCGATGGATGGGTTTCGCATGCTGGGCACCGAGCCCGGGCCAGGCCTCCTCGCGCTTGAGAGCCACAGCGACGCCAAATAACCACGGGACGTTTCTGGCTGCTGCTGCTTGTGTCGTTCTGGGGGCCCTTGCAGCTGGATGAGGGACAGGGAGGCAGGCACCAAGGGGCAGTGAGTGCCACACCCTGGCCTGGAGGAATCGAGGGTCTCGTCTGGGGACAGAAATGAGCAATGCACACCCGAGGCTGATCCGTATTACCGAAGGTGACGGGTGACAGTTGGGGGATCCAGGTCCCCCAAAGGGCACAGACGGCCGCATCACTTTCTCATGCAAGGAAGAAAAGTACCCTAAAGGCTGGGCTGTCGGTTGGGTGATGTGACTTGGGTGTGGGACGACTGTGGGAACTCCCGAGTTGGTGGGGGGTTGGGGGTGGGGGATTGGGGGGGACAGCGGTGGAGGCTTAGATGTCAGAACGTGGGGGGGCCTACAGAAGGCAGTTCACCCACCTGCTTCCTGCCAGAGCCCCACTTCGGCTTCTTCCCCTGGGAAAAAGTGGGATCTAAGCCCCTTCAGCTGTAGTAGGGCAACCTAGAGGCTGGCTCGGGGTCCCCAAAGATTGGGGGGGCGAGAGGGGACCACCAGCCTCTCCAGGCCCCCCTGAGGCCTCGGGAGTCGAAAATGGAGGGCCTTGGCGGGGGCGACTAACACCGTGTCCTCTGTCTGTCCGTCCGCCATCCAGGTGCAAGTTCTTCAGTCTGACCGAGACGCCCGAGGATTACACCATCATTGTTGACGAGGAAGGCTTCTTAGGTGAGTGCTTCCACCACTGGCGCTCGGCCGGACAGTGGCCTGCACTCAGTGCTGGCTGCCCGCCGCCTTATTTCTGCCCCTCCACCTCCTTACTTTTTGCCCGCCGCCTTATTTCTGCCTCCCCTCCGCCTTCCTAGCGGTGGGTTAGAAAGTCAGCAGGGGGTCTGTTTTCTTCTCTCCCTGTGCCCTGGCTGATCCCCCCTCCGTTTCCGCTTGTGAGACTCCCCCGGGAAAGGCGACGGCAGAGCCAAAAGGGTCAATAAGACGGTGCTTACCCAGCTGGGAACTGAAGCTACCAAGAAGGCACCCAGGGCTTGTTTTCTTGAGCACCTGCTGTTGGGCGAGGGGCTTTAAAATGTCCTCAGTCCTCGTTCCCTTTGGAGGAAGCCCTGATTATCTTCCTTTTGTGATTTTCCTTTCCGTTGTTCCGTTTTTCAGATTGGGATATCATTCAGGTATCACAAAGTCCACCATTTTATTTTAGTTTTGAATTTTTTTAATGTCTATTTATTTTTTTTTGTAAAATTTTTTTTTTCAACGTTTATTTATTTTTTTTGGGACAGAGAGAGACAGAGCATGAACGGGGGAGGGGCAGAGAGAGAGGGAGACACAGAATCAGAAACAGGCTCCAGGCTCCAGGCTCCGAGCCATCAGCCCAGAGCCTGACGCGGGGCTTGAACTCACGGACCGCGAGATCGTGACCTGGCTGAAGTCGGACGCTTAACCGACTGCGCCACCCAGGCGCCCCTAATGTCTATTTATTTTTGAGAGACAGACAGAGTGCAGACGGATGGGCAGAGAGGGAGACACAGAATCCGGAGCAGGCCCCAGGCTCTGAGCTGTCAGCATGGAGGCTGACGTGGGGCTTGAACTCACAAACTGTGAGATCATGACCTGAGCCGAAGTCGGTCGCTTAACCGACTGAGCCACCAACACTCCCCTTAAAGTCCACCATTTGAAAGTGTCCAGTTCTGTGGTTTTTGAAATGCACGGGGTTGTGCAGAACATTCCAGAACATTTTCATCACCCCAAAAAGAAACCTCGTACCTGTTAGTATCACTCCCCCTTCTCCCCTTCCCCCATGTCCTTTTGGTTTCATCAGTAAGGCTTTTACTATGTTTGTCCTGCTCTTAAGCTCGAAGCTCCTGGAGCAGAGAGGACATCACAGGCCCAGGCTCACCAGCCACCAGCTGGGCTCCCCCCAGAGCAGATGTTCCTTCCAAGCCCCTCAGTTCCGTTCCTCAAAGCATGCAGAGAACGCAGCAAATTCAGAGTTTTTGTAAAAACCCTATTCCGCCCCAAAGACAACTCCTGGTCACTTTTTTTTTTTTTTTAACGTTTATTTATTTTTGAGACAGAGAGAGACAGAGCATGAACAGGGGAGGGGCAGAGAGAGAGGGAGACAGAGAATCCGAAACAGGCTCCAGGCTCTGAGCTGTCAGCACAGAGCGCCACGCGGGGCTCGAACCCACAGACCGCGAGATCATGACCTGAGCCAAAGTAAGGTAACATTTCCTGTGATATCCCAGCCTCTCACCATGCATGTCGTGGTGGACGGGGCCTGCCTCCTCACCGGGTCCCTAGTGGTTAGAATCCAAGCTGTTTCCTTGTTCTCTAGTGATAAATTTGTGAACTCCTGAAATGTGTAACATACATTCTTATCCGGGCTGGCTCCGAAAATGAGGTCTGAGACGTGGTGTTTGTGGGGTCAGAAGTCAGCCATCTGTGTGGTTCTCAATGCAAGCTGAAGGGCGGCCGAATGAGACCGTCCTCACTGGTGAGCACGCGAAACCCTGGGGGAACGGATACGGCCCCCACCCGCTCTGTCATTCCTTACACGCCCCTGCCCTGGGCACCTAGCCAAGGTTGGGGGGCTGCACCCAGCCCCCCCCATATCTAAAGGCGCACGGTTTCCCTCCCTCCGAGGGGACAGCTGCCCGGCCACAGCAGGGACAGGACAGGCCCTACGGGAGGCCCTGCCCCATCATCAAAGTTATCTAGCTAGTCATTCATTCATTCATTCATCCGTTGACTCACTCATTCACTCAGCAGATATTTTCTGAGCCTGCGGGCCGCGAACGAGAACTTTTGCCTTAACCACAAAGCGCGGTACCGTGAAGAGTGCGTGCCTGGGCAACCCGAAGCCATCTGCATTTTTGCGTGGGGATGCGTGCCCTTGTGCGGGAGCACCGAGGAGTGCCCCGGACTATCTCTTCTCTAGGATCAGATGCTCTGTCTGGTCCATCTCCCTGGACGAGACTGACTCTCTCCATCGTGAGGCAGCAAAGGAGGCATCGCGGGGAACAGGGAGCCGGGGAGCCGGGTTTTGCAGGCCCTGGGAGCCCGCGTGTGCAGGAATTGTCAGTAACCGGGGCGGGAGGTGTCCCGCAGCTAAAGGGCCGCCTGCTCGGAGCCCCCCCCGGCCCCCTCCTCTGGATTGCAGGAGGCAGCATTTACTGAGCACCTGCTGTGTGCCGCATCTCGCTGGGCCCTGGAGGGGTAGCCGGGGGTGGGAAACACCACCTCTGACCCCATGAGCCTCAGGGCCTGCCAGCTAATGGCACCGTTCTCGTGGTTGGTGCCGTGCAGCGAGGGTGTGGGTGCCGTAACGGCATGTTGCAGAACATACCCTGCTATTCAGGAGACCCCCTGGGAGGGGCCCTCGAAATAGGAAGCAAGATAAGCCGAGAGCGGATACATGCGCTCCCTGAATCGACATATACTGCCTTATTTCACTGCCCCGCCGGGGCTGCTATCTGTTGACGCTGTGCTAATAAGCCCTGGGAAGGACTCTTTTTTTTTTTTTTTTTTTTTTTCACGCGAGGCTTGGAACGGGATGCAGCATCTTAAAAAAATTTTTCAAGTTTATTTATTTTGAGAGAGAGACAGAGAGAGCAGGGGAGGGGCAGAGAGAGAGGGAGAGAGAGAACATCCCAAGCTCTGTCAGCACAAAGCCTGATGCGGGGCTTGAACCCACAAACTGCGAGATCATGACCTAAGCTGAAGTCAGGAGTCGGATGCTAAACCGACTGAGCCACCCAGGCGCCCCGGGAAAGACTTTCCTTATCTTCGTTTTATAGATGAGGAAAGTGAAACACAGAAATGTGTGTAACCTGCCCAAGATCTCACCGTTGGTGTCACCTCTTCCAGAGGTGCTTCCAACGGCCAGGCCCTGGGCAGGGGAGGTCAGAAGCGCAGGAATCCAGCCTTTACCCCTCAGGTCTTGGGAGGACAGAAACACAGGAACCAGAATTACAGCATCAGTGGAGAGTGGCGCTCAGCTTAGTGGGCAGAAGTGCAGTCCAAGAGGACTTCCTTGAGGAGGCAGGGCCTGAGGCAGACCCAAGGAAATGAGTAAAGAGCTACCCAGTGGAACCTATGCAGTTGAGGTTGGGGACACTTCCAGAGTGGAGGGTTGCTTGGCACTCTCAGGGAACTGAGGTCACTGGGCACATGAACAGGGGAAGGAGGCAGGACGAGTGAGACCAGGAGAGGCAGAGGCAAGGGGGAGCCAGTGAAAGGTGTTGCCTGAACTCGAAGGGCTTGCCCGCAGAGAACCGAGTGGACAGGCTGGCACAGTGAGGACAGAGCAGGAATCGAGAAAGCTTCCAGATCAGAATTTACCTGGGACTTTCCTGAGCTCCACTGCTGACCGGCACAGAGCCTCACGTTTTGGGTCTGGAAGAAGTAGTGAGTCTTCTTCAGGATGTTCCTTTCTTGGGGGGGCGGGGGGGGGCTCCGAAGAGGA